CTTAAATTAGCTAGCTCAGGTATGAGGAATAATGAAGTTGTGACAAGCTGAAGCTCCGCTGGCTTTGGCGTGTCTTGCTTTGTGATTTCCTGCCTGTTTGATGGCAGTGTTCACGCAATGGCATAAATCACTTTGCCCAAGCTGTGCCTCAGCTTACTCAGGGAACATTGTTCACTTGTACCTGGAAGCAGTATTTAGAGGAGAAAGGGTAGTGTCATTGTAAATCACGTTAGGGAACAGAACAGCTGAAGCAAGAAACCACAGGTGCCGTGGGGAGGAGCAGATGAACAGATGGCAAGGTGGCTGGTGTTGGCTGAGGACTTGCTAGGATCTGGAAGAAACAAAGCAGGGGAGAAAGATTTGGATAAGGATGGAATACTTCAATTTGGTATTGAGAAGGGGATCTGGAAACCACTGGAGCAATTTAAGATGGCTGGCTGAGTACATTTTCCAAGAAAAAAAGCAAGGAAGATCAGCACTGGATGAGAGGAGCAAAAAAAGAGTTAAGTGTATCAAGACAAAAGATAGTAAGGGCGTGGCCAATATTTGTAATGCTACTTTCTCTTCTTGTGTCTCTCTGATCGCTGTATGCAGCTGGTACATCAGAGTGTAGCTCATGGACCACATACCCTTCTGCCTTTCCAAATGAGTAATAGTGTTCATAGCAAATCAGGCTTTGTTTCTGTCCCCAGACTCAAGTGTTTTCTATTTGGCAATTGCTGGTGCCTGCCTTTTCCCACATCTCTCTTTTTAAACTTCCTGGTGTGTTCTGCTTCTCTTTCTAGTCTGCTTTCATCCATCCTCTTCTTTCTTAATTCCATATTTTTGCTTATGGATCCATTATTTGTAGCCACCCTTACATATATGGGCATATTCTTCCTACACAGAACTCCCTTGTCATCTTTTCCCAAAGAAACCTTGGGAATGCTGCTGTCAGCCCTGAGAAACGCGTTCTTCATGCAGGACCCTGTTCAAGCAGCACCTTGCACGGGGTACTCAGTCTGCATCTCAGGGTGCAATGCTACTTTTAGCTGTGTAACAGATGAGGAAAGGGTACAGGGTCATGCCTGAGCATTCTAGACTGGTGTGTCTGTGAAAACATACTTTTCCATCCCTCCTGTGCCAGTGATTGTTCAACTACTTGACATGTGTGTTGCTAGCACCTTCAGCACACAGTATTCTTAATCCTGAAAAGTTTTTAGCGTCTGTGACTTTGTGCTTTGTCATAAGATTTCAAAACTTCTCTGTCTAAATAAAGGCACTTTTTCTCACAATTTTTCTCTTTCATCCCTACCAGAATGTTTTTGCATATGCTATTTAGGGAGAGTATTAAACACAAGTGAAATAGATTATGAAATGAATGTAAAAGAATCAATTCTTTTGAACTGTGGTTGCATAATGGAAATCGACTGCTATGAATGAACCTATGTTCAGAAGTTATGAACAGCAGAGCTAATGCACTGCCATGAGTTCATCTTTATTATTGCATTACACCTGAGTCAATTGATAAAGTAGCTTTTTTTAAGGCTAGGAATGGCACTTAATTGAATAAAAGTCAATGTAATTATATTAGGAGAATCCAACAGTACTGCTGACAGCGGAAAAGGGACAGCACTGAGCAGAGTGCCAGAACTGGTCCGCACATTTCTGCACATCGTTTGCCTGACAGATATTATGGGCTGGTACATACTTTAACGAAATTACTGATTGCCACTGCTGTAAGTGAGAATTGAATAAGGGAGGCATCTCTTCTTATCAGAGCATCAGCAGGGTTTGCATCCTTACACTGGTCTTTCTCAGAATGGCCTCTGCCCATCTGGGGCTCAGTGGCCCCTCTGTAAGGTTATAATTTATCCTTATCTCTTCATTCAGTGAATGCTGAAGCTATTTTCAGTGCATGCGTGGCTGCTGTTTTTCTCAGCAGCAAACCAAGGAGACAGTAAGTGTAAAGGCATAGAAGCAACAGTTAAAGTTATCCTGACTAGTTTCTACACTGCAGCAAATTCCTGTACCAAGGAAGTAAGTACGGGAGAGAGGGTGAGAAACTGTAAGAGGCAAACACATGAGCACTTTATAAGTAGTTTGTAGTTAGTATTATGATGATAAGCACAGATGTGCTTTTATGGTCATGTAATAACACCAATCAGTGTGGACAGGTCTTCACAGTAAGTGCTTCCTGTACTGCACTCTGCAACTTTACATGGAGTTGTATGCCATGTCACACCAGGAAGGCAAGGGACTGTCAGGGCTACTGTTTATCATTCATGTATGTGCACACTGCATGCATCTGTTCAGAACTCATTTGTGGGTCGGAATGGGGATGTTGTGAATATGCTTTGATTAATTTGCTTTATGTTTTACATATTCTGTTGTTCAGTCAGTATCTATCAGGACAATGGTATCAGTGAGATTACAGCTGGCAAAAACCAGTTTCACAGTCAAGACTTTAAAAACAGTCTGTATTTTATTGGTTTCAGATATTATTTTCTTTTGTCTTTTTTTTTTTTTTAACCAGATATGTCTGGATTGGAATGTGAATTTGTTTTCTCTCTCTCCTCCCCCTCCCCCTTTCTTTCTCTTTTCTACTCTTCTCTCTCTCTCTCTCTCTTTTGTGATCTCAATTTAGCAAAAGATTAGAAAGCTGATCTTATCACAAGGTAAGCTCAGCCTTCCTAAGTGCAGTGTGGGGATATGCATAATTACACTTCTGCGCCTCAAAAAAAGCAATGGTGCTATACTTGCTTGTGTGAAAGGAGTATTTCCCATGTGGGAGAAAAACGAGGAGTACTCTCCACTTTTTTCTACCCTTGCCCATACCTCTCAACTGTGTCTCATGAGGAGAGAAATTTTCCATTCTGGAGCCCCCTTACTGGAATAATTGCAGCCCAAGCAGACACGATTCAATTAAACTGCAGCTCAGTATCACTTTTATGTCAGAGAACAGTTACCTGCATTTGCAGGTGAATGGGACTGATCCCTTCTATTGCTGTTTTCTTCGTTTACTCCCTTAAGTTATGTGTGACAGATGAATTGCAAATAAGTGGCAGAAATAACTCTACATCAATTTAATATTCCTAGATTTGCATTTTCCTTATTTATCTGCATGTTATTGTTGTACCATGTTTGGGACTTCAGCTGGTTGAGAGGTATGTTTCAAAGGGTTTCTTAAAACAAAAGCTTCCAATGAAGAATTATTGCTCATAGCTGTTATTCCCTTTCCCCCACTTTTTTTTTTTTTTTTGCTATTGTAGGACCTGAATGTCTGTAAAATATTTGATCATTATTATGTCTTCCCATGCCAATTTTATATGTAGTGCTTTTGTTTTGCAAATTAAAATATTCCCATGTTAAAATTCTCTCTCTCTCTATCTCTCCATATCCCACACCCCACACCTCCCTTCCCCTTTTCTTTCTTTCCCTCCTACATTTGGGCTCTGATCTGCAATTTATAATGGGCAGACAGACTGGTGAGTCTGCATGTTGTAAATTGCAGGTTTGGGTCTGTAGCTTGCAAAGAATGTTACGCAGTAGAACTTCGCTAATTCTTTTTTTACTGACTTGAAAATCCAGTCACCCTCCAAAGAAACTGAAGAAATATTTGTCATTTCCTCAACAATGGTGAACATTCTGAATAGTGAACCCTAAAGTTTTCAAATACTGAAAACTTTATACTGATTTCATAGTATTAGGCACTTTGACAAAATGAGCATGTTCTGTGGTCAGAGGTCTTTGAAGTCTGTCATGTTTGTTGCTTGCATTGTTAATTCAGAAAATGAAGTTTTTCTAAGAGGGTTTCCTGATGTTACTGCAAATCAGTGAGGTTCTACTGCAATGGATGAATAAAGTCAATGTCAAAAGTGGAGAGTAGAATGCAGTATTTAAAATAATAGTTTGGTTTACACAGTTACTAACCCAAAGGCTTACGTTGTTTGCAAATGTAGAGCATTATTTTTTGAGAACAAAGGCCCCGATCCTGTAAAACACTTGAGAATATTTTAAGTTGCAGCTCTTGGGATCTGGTCCAAAAACCACTGACGTCATTGACAGCTTTTCCAGTGTCTCTTGAGCACCCATGGTGACTTCAGCACATACCTAAACCAAAACCCATGCTTAAGTGTTTTGATTGATTTGGGGCAAAATTCTCTTTGCCATTAGTAGGATTTTATAACTGGAAGTTAACACTGCTTGGGTCAGTCAGCACAGCATCATATACCATACAGGGAAGAGTACCGAGAGGAGGAGCAGTGCCCTCCTGGATGGATGGAACCAGTGCCTTTGGCCAAGATTTTCAGATACTTACATGTAGATTTCAGAGACTTGTTCCCCTAAACCCTTCAAGTCTTCTCCTTCTTGATTTGGCCCAATTCTGAATCCCTTTATATCAGAATTAAATTATCAGACTCAGGAACTTTGACAATGTATCATTCAGTTCCATTATTTTTTCTTCTCCTGTGTTTCACTTACACAGTTAAGTCAGTACATATATATATTAATATATATATATATGTATATAAAATCATATTTATGTATGCATAAATATAAAATCACAGAATCATTAGATATTGATCTAGGGATAGACATAGATACAAACATACATAGAAATTCCATATATTAATAAAATTTTCTTTTGAAGCAAGGATTTTAGGAAGGCCAGTGGGGATTCAGGAACCAAGAAGAGCATTTTGCATTTTCTGCTAGTGCAGTTTAGTATTTTATAAATACCATATAAAAGGGCTGGAGCTGCTGCTGGGAATTAATGTTGAGGAGCAGTAGCTGGAAAGTAAAACAATACAGGGGGTATAAATTTGCTTGTTTTGGTTTGGTTTTATGTTGTAGTTTGTTCACTTATAACAAGACTGAATTTTCCAAGAAAACGGATAGGGGATATTTTGATGATAAATTATTGATAAATCAGAATTTGTACTTGGTACCTGATGACTGTATGTTTAATCAAAAATGCTGTATATTTTTCCTTTTCTCCTTCCCTCTTCCTTTCCCAGACACAGTGCTAACATAAACCTGCATCGCAAACTGTTGACCAAAGAACTGGATGATATGGGCCTGGACACCTCACAGCCTTCTCTTAGTAAGGACCTCCGCGATGAATTTTTGGTGAAGATATATGGCGCTCAGCATCAGATGGGGCTTGACATAAGGGAAGACACCTCCTCTCCTGCTGGTACTGAGGATTCCCATATGAATGGATATGGCAGAGGCATGTCAGAAGACTATATGGTCCTAGACCTGAGCACCACCTCCAGCATCCAGTCCAGCAGCAGTATCCATTCCTCAAGAGAATCTGATGCAGGAAGTGATGAGGGCATTCTCCTGGACGACGTTGATGCGGCAAGTGACAGTGGGGAATCTGCGCACAAAGCAGATGCCCCTGCCTTAGCTGTAGGGATGGGCACTGATGTCCCAGGATCCCTCATGTTCAACAGTGTTTCGGTGAGCAACGGTGGGATAATGTGTAACATTTGCCACAAAATGTACAGCAACAAGGGAACCCTCAGAGTGCACTATAAAACAGTGCACTTGCGAGAAATGCACAAATGCAAAGTCCCTGGGTGCAACATGATGTTCTCCTCTGTCCGTAGCCGAAACCGGCACAGTCAGAACCCCAATCTGCATAAAAATATTCCCTTCACTTCAGTAGATTAGTTCAAGGATGGACACAGCCTAATGCCAGCTCTCAGAGAGGGCCCACCACATCTGAACTGGCATATACAGTCTCCCTATATATATA